CACTGTATAAGGTAAGCTTGATCAGCTGCAATTTCTATGCATCACCCAAATTTGAAAAAGAATGGTCCACAACTTTGTGACATCATTCAGAACTCTGTGCATCGCTTATGCCATCATTCAAAGCTCTGTGTATCAGTCAGTTAGGATTAATTCAATTTTTGTGCACCTTTAAGGTTTCATGGCCAGGGCTTGATGTCAGGCACATGGTACTCATCAAAATTTGTTTGTTTTCTTCCAAAAAAAAGAAATGCTTTCAAGTTTTGAGCCTATATTTTAATTCATCATGACGATGTTGGAGATTGAGGTTAATAATAAACAGAAGCCCAAAGCTCAAAAATTTTAGAATAAACCCTTATGGGTTAACTTTCCCTATGATAATCTTTTTGGAATTTACACCATTTTACCTTTGAAATTTAATCCTTGTGAGAAGGGTTTTAACTCAAATCTTTCCGAAAGACGAAGCTTCAATATGCAACTCATGCATCAGGATTTTGGGTTCAGATCAAGTCAATATAAAGGTCGGGTCTTGATCGAATATGAATAAGCTAAACCCAATTGCAGCACAAATGTTGGATCTTGGTCCCAAGTCTTAACAATCCAAGCCATTCAAATGTTAAGCCCAAGTAAAGTTGAGTTCAACTCTGCATACTCTCATTTATATCCAAGGATAAAGTATAAAGGATCCCTCAAAAAAAATAAGAAGTCGACATACATTAATGCCGCCATCAATCCATGTTTCTCAACCCAAATGGATGGAAACAATAAATAGCACATAAACTAACACTGACAAAACATTGACAGACAAATTTTTCTAACGTTAATACGGATCAAATGCTGTCTATTTGCTCTTTACCAATAATATGGCTTAAATGCCATTAATTTTTGCTCCTTCCAAGTAATATGCCTTAAATACCAATTATTTGATTATTACAAACTACATGCATTAAAATATAAAATGTATTAGTGGAACTGACTAATTATTTTACATAAAAAAAATCAATGAACAGACATATCAATAGATTCAATACTATTGTACATAAACCATTATAAGAAAAAATAAAATTAAATTATACTTATCTTAAAGGTAAATAGTGGAACTGAATCTTGTCTTTTTGATGGATAAGCTTTTTATTTTTAAACTTGTTATTATTATTTTTTAGCTTTAATAAAATGGATTTCATTAGTTAATGTTAACTTTGTTATAATGAAATAAATCTGAGATAGATGAGGAAGATAGAGAGAAATTAATGGCATTTTAAGTCAAATCTATACTACTATGAAATAAACCAACTAGGGATAGTGCAAAGTTTGAATGAATGGTGGACATGTCCTCCCTTACATTTGCAACTGAAAGGGTAAAAATGTAATTTAACAAGTAATGATGGTTTATCTATTCTTTTCTATTCTTTTTTTTATTCTAGAATATTCTATGTTATTCAATACATGTAAATAAAATTGAATGCCACACACAAGTAACTATTATATTTTAATCTATAGAAAAACTGAAAAACCTAAATGTTGTGCATGTATCTATTCGACATCTATTTATACTAACTTATAAAGAACATAGAGAGGATAAGACCATTAATGTGGGATTTTAAGTTCAAATAATGAAGGTAAAATATAACTATCTCTTAGAAAACATTTGATCTTCACTTTTTCGCCCTATCTATTAAATGCAAACTCTCTAGAAATAAAATAAAACTATCATTTGTATTCTTAAAATACAAAATATTCAAAAGCGACATGTTTTCATATCACATGCATTTGCGTGAGAAAAATCTAGTTATTGCAAAAGAGTAAATATGGATGACTTAGGCTCTGTGACCTAGTTTAAAAGTAATCTTATATTAGTAGTATGGGTAGCTTTACAATTCATTTAACATAGTATGTTAGGAACAGTGTTTTCAAAGGCGCGAGCCTCATTGCGCCTCATGCGCCTTACGATGCGGGGTGGTGGAGAAGCGCCCCACATCACATCTGATGCAAATGCACCTTTTGTGTCTCGCGTACATCCTTACTTTGTGTAGGGTGCATGTAGTACATATCCTCATATAGTTTTGTTTGTTAACATTTCAATCGAGTCTTTATATCTGATATTCCATATCCCAAAAAACAAAATAAATCCATTAGCCCTTTTTAATAGCCTTCAATTGAGGATCATTACTAATCCTTTACTTGGATATTAGTCTTGATTTAACATTTGATTTATATTGGGTGTTAGCATTAGAAATTAAGGCATTATATTGTGATTTTGTAGTAAGATATTATTTAGGACAAATTTTCAAAACCGACCCTTTTGGGTTTTTAATTGCAAAAAACGACCGGTTTTGAAAATATTTACAAAAACCGACCTGTTTTCAGCCAGGGGCTGAAAACAGGTCGGTTTTTGTAATTTTTTTTGGGAAACTTCACGGGAGTTGAACTCCCGTGAAGTTTTTCTCATAACAAAACTTCACGGGAGTTGAACTCCCGTGAAGTTTGGGAAAATTTTTTTTAAAAACCGACCCAGTTTCAACCAACTGGGTCGGTTTTTATAAATAAGATTGAAATGGGTCGTTTTTTGCAATTAAAATCCCAAAGTGGTCGGTTTTGAAAATTTGTCCATATTATTTATCATGTAAATTCTAAAAACATGTTCTTTCGCGCTTGATTACATATTTTGACAAATTATGTGCGGTGTGCGCCTCGCATCACTCGGGCGTGCGCATTGCGTTGCGCCTTACGCATGTGCGCGTAAAGATGCTTTGCGCCCCGCTTTGCGCCTCGCGCATTGACAACACTGGTTAGGAATGAAGTGCAAATTCTGAAGGGAAAACATTTCTTAAAAACATGGAGGATTAAACAACAAGAAATATCTGATTTCGCATAATTAAGTATCCAAATGAACCCTAAATTTGCAATAGCGGGTGCCCTTGGGCACACGTCAGAAAGCTATTGATAAAAACCACTACTGTTTCCACCTATATACAGCCCCCAAAATCACAACCTCTCTGCCTTCATTTAAAGTTATTTAAGCCAACTGTCACAAACATACTACATGTCATAATCATAGTGCAGCCTAGCAGCATGAGCTATCAATGGAGGAAGATGATAGTGACAGTATTTACTCGCTATTTATGCACATATATTGTTATCTAACAAGAAAGACAAAAGGAGGTAAAGATTAAAAATTTAGAACTTACTAATCCTCGCTTGTTCATTATATATTCAATTATTATTATTATTATTATATATATATATATATATATATATATATATATATATACAGAGACGAGACAAAAGGAAAGAATATACTAAACCTGGGGTTAACACTTTATCACTTACTAGATACCAAGAATTCTTTAAACGCTCATAAGATGAGAATTAGTAATTACTCTTCTAAACTTCAATTTCTAGAAAGCAATTCTTATAAAAAAATCATATATAACATTCTTAGACTGAAAAGAGCAAAAGCGTTAAACTCTGAAAAAAACTTATGCAGAGGAATTCAGACGTCTCTCTCTCAAAATCAAAAAGACCTTTTAGCTTCCAATCCATATTCTCTCTCTCAAAATCAAAAGACCTTTTAGCTCCTAATCCATATTCTCTTCCTCAAGATCTCTCCTTTAACGGCTCTCTCAAAATCAAAATACCTTTTAGCTCCAATCAATATCAACATACCTGAAACAACAACCTGTCATTGAGAACGGAGCGACAAGGCTAATGACTCTAAGAGGCGATCGAAGTGAGAACTACATTTAGATCCCGAGGAAGAAGAATGGAAGGAAAGAGACTCATCATCAGTATGGAATCAGAACATTGGAGGTCTAGAGCTGTAGGTTTGAATCGATCGATGGGAAAGGAGTTTTTTCTATCTTGCACGAAGTCGTGGTGCGAAAGCAGTGATGAATGGGAGGGAGCAGTTTCACTAGGTTTGGAGGAGGTGCATCTTAAAAGTTAACGGGCATGTATGTAGGGTTAGTAATATGTTGTTGTGAGTATGTTTCTTTCTTTTACCTTTTTTTCCTTTGCTGACTTTGGTGTACTTGCTAGTTGCTACCACAGTTATATGTATATGGACACAAAATCATGGTTATATGTCATTCTATAATTATTTGTCTGAACTTATGAATTTTTTTATCGTTTTTTCCATACATATGCGACACCATATTAGAGATATGAAAGTTTTACTTATCTAATTCATGAACGAAGAGTATTTGTTATTCTTTGATCTCAGGTGTTGTCTGTGTTTCAAGGTTGAACAAAATTGTCCAGTCCCTACTTCATCAAGATAATAACCCAAAGGGAGGGGAGAGGAATGATTGTGTAAAGCCAAAGGGAGGAAGTGGGGAGGGAAGGAATCTGATGAATTAATTGTGTTTAGCTAGAAACTAGGGGAAGAGAGGGTACAATATGATTTGTGTTTGTTTAGAGTAGAGAATAAGAAGGGAGGGAAACTATTATGACAAACATAAATTAAGTCTAGGGATAGTATTGGATTTTAAAAAAATATCACGTAAAACTCAATCTTTCCCCTCCCAATGCGTCCACTTAGGATGGTTAAGAAAGTGAGCAAATTTGCTTCTTTTTAGCCCTCCCATCCCTTCCTCTCATTGACTAAAATTTGTGAACAAACAAAATTTTGAGGTGATTAACATTATAACCTTAAGCTACGCAGACTACCATAGTACCCTATAAAGTGATTGCAAGAAAGGAAGAATAGGAAAGGAAAAAAGAAAGATGTAATGTGTGCAGCAGATAGATAGATATCGCCCCCTCAAATCTAATTCTCAAAATTTTACGTTAGATATCAGCCTTCGACTAATTACAGTTTTGCAGCATCAACTAACACAAGGATGCTATGCTTTTGGCCATCATTTAGTACTCTAGAGATCATAATTCAGTGAATATTGTTAAGTAGATAGAGAATTATACACTTAGGAAAACAACAGATGTATGTCGTAACAAATACTATTAAAGGAAGAAAACTGTAAGAGTTAAAAAAAAAAAGCACTCACTGATTCAGCCTTCCAACCATTACTAAAAGAAAAACCAATCGGTTCAAAGCCCCTGCAATCAAACACCATCAAAGTAGAAAACTTTTCAGCCTGGCTCTGTTCAAGAGTCAGTGGTTGACCCTGTCCTGGAATCATCTGAATAGATCCCTCCCTCCCACACAATTTGCACTAGTAAGAAGTTAAACAATGTACTGTCAGTTGACAGAAGATGTAGACTAGTACTGCTCATCAAAAACAGATTTATATAACAACCTAATTCTGGAATTTGAACTCAGAAAAGTGGCATATAACAGTTTATGGCTCTAGTCAAATTCCATAAACAGCATAGCCAACATCATTTAATTGAGTAACTTATAGCATGCTTAAGACCTTTGGATCAGCATCCACTAGGATTATTATCCATTTGTGGATTATAGTCTATGTGGATTAAAATTTTAGGTGTTTGGTAAAGAGCATGGTCCATAATCCATGTCTTTTGCTAAAATGACAAAAATAAACCTTAAAAGCCGGAGGAGAGAAAGAAGAGGAAACAATTAGATGTAAAAATTGAGGGGCATTTTTGTGTTTTACATGGTCCAACAAGTGGATTATAATACACCAAAAAAATAAGCTAGGAATCCTAGATTATGTTTTCTCGAATATAATATAAAATAATCTACTCAACCAAACATGCAAAAGTGAGCTATAATCCACTTTGACCAAGTTGCCAAACATGCTCTTAGCTCTATGGGATCAACTGCTTTGCTACAGAGCGATATATACAGAAGGTCATATTAAGAGGTATCTATGTTAGAAACAGTGCATGAGTGACTCTTGGGTGTATCCATCTATAATAAATGACAAGCATATCCAACATCTAGGGAGCAAAATGCAAGAGGAGCCTCTTAGAGGACTTATTTAACTGCCAGTATCTGTAGCCATTATTAGAGTGATGACAAGGGATCCACAGGGTTTGGGAGCAATACAAACCTGTTATATATCCATTCTTCAACAAGTTTCATTAGTTCACTGAACCTGACAATACTCTTAACAGTCTAACCCAGTCACATATTAAGCTCTCAATGATACACAGGCACAGATTAGTCATTTCATAGTCTTTGTGAATGGACTTGAGTTCTTCTGACAAAATAAAAACTTTAGGGGGCTTGACGATGAGGGTGGAAAGTATGTAAAAACAGCTAAAGTAGGAAGGTTTGCTGAAACTTACCCCAAAATTTAATTTGAAAAGTGTCACAAAAAAAAAGAGAATATACATGCTCATTGCTATCGAAGAAATCAAGCTTTCTAAATTAAGTTAAGTATTAACAAATGCAAAACATTAAACTAACCCTATATAAAAACAATTGGTGAATAAAAGAACTATAAAAGAAGACACAAGGGAAAAATAGTATTAGGTGCACTAATCGAGCCTAGACAATTTGAAGTTTGAATATGTAAGCTTGTATTTCACTATAAAAGAAGAAAATCAAGATATATTTCAAACAGAACAGCAAGTGACACTACAAAATAACTGTTTGGCTCTATTAAGTTGCACATGACCTATATGTATAGTTTGATGTGGGTTTACAGAATTTAGGTTTCCTCCCTCTAACAACTACCTTCCAGGAGTGAGTTCTCCTAGGTGTCTAACGAAAAGAATTAGAGCCAACAACATGCTTCCAAGTTGCAAGCGAGAGGCGCAAATGATGACACCGACGTATCAATGCCCGCCAGGAAATAGACTAGCGCACGCTAGTCCGCGTTGACATTGGGACTTCAGGAGCACAGTGATGTGCTAAATTCTATTTAGTCCCACGGTCATTGTAGCCGTATGGGTAGTTTGATGTGGGTTTATTAAAGATTTAGGTATCCCCCTCTTAACACCTACATTTTAGGGGCTAGTTTTCCTGTCCATAACAATAACCGGCATATTAAGATCTGACCATACAACAAAGAATTTAAGATAGGCTAGATGAAAAGATGGGGGCAGAGAGATCTAAATGAGATAAATAAGCTCACAATTCACCCTAAACAAATAATCAGCATATCCAAGAATAGCCGTAGTTAATATCAGGCTATCAGCATGAATAATTTTAACGCGTTATTACTCTCCCAGACAACGGATCAGATGTGATTGAAAAGGAAACAAGAAAATCGAAGTTACATAGAAAGAACACAAACTGAAGCTAGATAAGATTGCAATTTAAGGGATAGAGGTCGTAGCCGATGAATTGGACTTAGCTCTTCAAACTGAGAATAAAATAATTAATGAAAAAAAAAACGAGACCGTCAAAAAAAACAACTAATCACACGAAAAATGAAAACAAACGAGAAACGAGAGATGGAGACCTTCTGCACGAGATTCGCAGTCGCCCGGCCGTTGGAGAGAGGAACGGTTTCAGAAAGCACGACGCAAGTCTCCTTCTGGCTGATCTCTCCGCAGTTCTCACACTTGACCTGATAAGAGTCACGAAATCTCGTCAAAGGTTATCGAAATCAGAGAGAAAGCCCTAGATTAAGCTCAACAGCGAGGAGGATGGAGCGGACCTTGAAGCGGTAGGGGAAGTTGGGATCATCGCAGCCCCCTAGAGGTTGGAGATTGGTGATGTTCTCGAGCTCACCCCAGATCGAGAGCAGATAGAACACCATTTTTTTGTGTGTGGGGATTTAGGAGGGATTTCGGAGAGTTAGGGTTTTTGATCTTGAAAGAGAGAATAAAAAGGATAAAGATTTCTTTGGAGGAAAGACGGACAGAATTGGAGGGAATCTGAGCAAGGTGACTACACTCCGCAGGTCGTGTATAAGAGTGCCACTAGAGCCACACCATCAACCGCACTCTCAACCATACTCCTACACTCTTTATAGTGCTAGTGGGTCATACATAATATTTTAAAAATATCATGTATGACCCACTAGCACTATAGAGAGTATAGAGATGTGATTGAGAGTGTGGTTCATGATGTGCCTCTAACATTATTTCGTCTATAATTAGGGGCTATTCGTTTCCAGAAAAAAAAAAGGGAAATCAAAGAATAGGAAACTTATTTCCTATAATAATTGTTTTGAGGTTGTTTGGTTGGTTTAAAAAAGAAGGAAATTATAGAATAGGAGATGAGATGAGATGAGTTGTCACCTTATTATTGGATGATGTGAGTGATTTTTTAAAAAAAATTATTTTGAGGTTGTTTGGTTGGTTAAAAAAATAAGGAAATGAATTGGAGGTATATTATTGGATGATGTTTTGAGGTTGTTTGTGTTTGGTTCATTTTTAAAAATAAGAAAATAGATGAGATGAGATGAGATGAGTTGGAGGTATATTATTGGATGATGTGACACATACTTAAGGAAATTAATTTTTTGTTTTTTTTTTTTTTAGGAAATGGATGGAAAGAAAGGTTTAATGAGATGAGATGAGTTGTCACAATATTATTGGATGATGTGTGTGATTTTTAAAAATGAGATAAGATGAGATGTGATGAGTTGGATGATATGACACATTTCTTGTGTTTGGTTTATTTTTAAAGGTAAGAAAGGAGATGAAATGAGATGAGTTTGATGATAAAAATAATTTTTTATTGAATGTTATGGGTGAGTTTTAGGGATGGAAATGGATAAAAATATCATTTTATTAATTTCCTTGTACCAATTTCCTTCTTTGATTTTAGGAAACCAACCAAACGGGCCCTTAGGGGAAAATGTGTGCATGCCCCAAAACAGAAGATTCATGTGCTGTAATCCTTCAACTTTTCTCCATGTGTTCAAATCTTAAAAATATGATATTTTGTGTTGTAATCCCTTCTAACAATTATTACATGCTAACTAAACTAAAATCCCCAAAATATCCTTATCTCTCTCCTCAATCCCTCAAATTTCAGTGCTCTCTCTCACCAGATCTCATCTCCTCTCTTTCTCTCCTCTCTCTCGCCTCTCTCTCTAAAACCAATGGCTTTCTCAAGCTCGTCGCTCTGGCCCTCGCTCTCCTCGCCGTCACCGCCTCCGTCCTGACCCTCGCCCTCCTCGCCGTCTCTGCCTCCACATTCTCTTAACCCAACCCAACACACCAACTGTGAAAAGCTTAAAAGGCATTATCATCTTTCTTGGGTTCAACTAAGCCTTTACTAATAAAGAGAAGGATCCAAGAAGGTAAACCAAATTTTACAACCAGCAAGGCATTACCCCAAAACTTTGCATTCAGCTACATAGCTTCTTGACGGAAAAAGAAAAACTAATACGACTATAATTCTTTAATTCTCTTTAGGTGCATATGCACATAAATTTAAAACTGAAGTAATCTAATTGAAAGAAAAGGATAACGAGAGACGAACAGAGCAACAAATGAGAGCAGTGACACGTGTTACAATCTCTGGTGCCATCCAACCCTCCCCTCGAAAGGAAATGACGTCGAGCACGCCGCTAAGGGCCTCATCAAAGTCCGAACATCGCCTCACCGGCGGAGAAGCGAGCGGTTGGGAGGTGACCGGAACGTGAGGAAAAGGATGCGGTCGTTGCAGGCGGCGACTGCAACCATCAAGCGGAGGCTATCTTGATTATGCAAGTAGATTTTTTTTATTTTTTGAGATTTAATTCTGATTTTTTCGGAGAAAGAGAAGGGAAAATGATATGAGAGGCTAAGGAGTGTGGACGTTTGTTTGGACTATTGTTAGTTCTAATTCACTGTGTGTTAGTTCTAACTCACCGCATGTTAGTTCTAGTTCTAATTTATGCATCTTGGGCTCTTGTGTTAGTTCTAATTCACCACATGTTAGTTCTTACTCATCGCATGTTAGTTCTAGTTCTAATTCATGGCTCTTGTATTAGCTCTAACTCACTGAGTGTTAATTCTAACGCATCGCGTGTTAGTTCTAGTTCTAACTTACGGGGAAAAAAAATAAGCATATACATTTGATGTAAATTGGGTGCAAAAGCAAACTCGGCTCAAGGATGAAGGGGAGAAACTGGAATCGAATCACGATACAGCGAATAGGATTTGGAGTATGTACTTCAATAAGATGCAATAAGATTCTTACAAAAGTGGCCAAGATTAACTTGAACACTTATTGGAGAAATTGGTTGGGTCCAAAAAGAAATCTGATATGCATGATTTTGTGATGCTTCAAATTCTTTACACAACTTACAATGATACTGATTCTAACTGCAACAATAAATGCACCACGACATATGTTGAAGTACACGACTCATATATGTAGTTGATCATTTCCCATGGGCAACTATTATATACAATCAAGTGCGTGATTCTCTAAAAGCTGCGAAGATAGCTAAAAAGGGACTGACGTACTTAAGTGGTTGCGCTCCCTTGCTATTGGTGAGCTATTTGTAATATTTGTAGTTAAGATGTGATATTTGTCTCTTATTTGTGATATTTGTCTTTTACATAAGACATATGTTACTAATATGCGACATTTATGTGTGGACTATTATGTTTAGTTTTAATCTGTGATAGTTATCAATATTTAGTGATATGAAATGAGCTGACTTCATTGATTGATTGTTGTCTTTTTGAAGCTATGGTGCTATGAGATCACAAACATCATAGAGTATGTCAGATAACAGATAAATGTACAGTTTAATGATCACATTTAAGTCGATAGTATCACAATATTTGACATACCTTATACCAGAAAATACAGAATTCGCACACTTATTTAGACCATAACTGATAGCTACTTGGTAAGCACTATGATTCGTCATCGTAATCTCATGTAACATAGCTTTGACTTCTTTTTTTGTATACTTATATGCAACAAACTCCAATAATCTTGAAATTCGTTGAGCAGCACTTGAGGCAAAACCCATCTCTCCAAGCTTCAATTTATAAATTTCAACTAAATGAAGTACACATCTAAAATGGTAGGCATCTGGAAATATATTTTTTAAAGGTTGTTTTATTCCTTTGTCAGCATCTAATAAAATGACTAGAGGATGGTATGGTTTATATGGTTCTATTCAATCGTACAAAATATACTGCAACCTTTGAATAAACCAACTCCAATTCTTTTCATTTTCTTGATCACAAATACAAAATGCGAGTGGAAATATACCTTAGTTATCATCATAAGTAGTCACACCTAATAAGATCCCTTTGCAATAAACTTTCCGAAAAATCTCATCTAGAAAGAGCAATAGCCTACATCTCTTGAGAAACCCTTGTATGCATACACTATAGGAAACAAATAAACACTTGAGTCGGCTCTCTTCTTGTTCAATGTTGATGACACTACCTGGATTTGTTTCCCTCACATTCATTTGGTACCTTTAAATGATGATTAAAGAACAGTTAACATGTTAATTCATGAATAAGTTCTAAAGGCCACATATAAGACATGAATGTCATATATAAGGTCTAAATATCACATGTGAGACTTACATGTCACATACAAGGTCTAAATGTCACATTTGATACTTATACATCACATATAGTTTCAAATGGGCACATATAAGGTTTATAGGTCACATATAAGTTCTAAAGGATACATCAACAAATTAATAAACTAAGCAAGATAGTAAACTGTATGAATATCTTACACAACCAAATATTTAGTCATTTGTTATCTCCTTGGCATGCCAATCTTTAGAATAATTAACTCTTAAACCATATTGAAAGTGCAATACCTTTCTAATGTCAGTTGGGGTGATATATGGACGCTTCTTCATAATTGATTGTAACATACTCGTAATCCATCTTCTCGATGCTCTAGAGTGACCATCTATGCTGTTATGTTGTCCACAATTATGTTGAGGAACACATTTTTTTATAGCAAAGATCGACACATAGCTCAATGGTGAAGCGTAAAGCAACCACGAACATTTTGCTTCTTTTTTGAATATGCATTTAGCACGAATGCGTTTTGGCTCATTGTTAACATATTTAAAAGAGAACTTCTTAGCTATAGAGTAGCATATAAGAGCCATTTTTAACTTCTCTTGTGCTTTCAATTTGCTACCTTTCTCCAGTAATTGCCTCGTGCCACCATGCCGGGAGTCGTGTCAAGTCATTTACTATGTCATCCATCATCACACATGCTCTCCATGAGAATTGTCATTTGGAATTCTCTCTGATTCCTAATATGCTTCGATGACTGTGAGTTTATAGTACGAAGATCGCAAGTTGAAATAACAAATGATATATATAAGTTACATGTAAAAACTAAAAGCAGTTGTTAACTTGTATTATGTCACAAATAACGTTGAAATGTCACGTGCTAATTCTGCAGGTCATATATGATACGTAAAAATCACAGTTCCCATTATAACGTGTATACAGAACCCGAAAGGAATCTTTTGAATACTTACTTAAACTTTGTTTCTGTCCCTATGCCATGCGTGGATCCTTTATCTCTTTCAGTAACAATCATTATTATTGTATTTAACCCCATTGACCAATGATAATTTATCATGTTGAGAATATCTTCATCTTTTAAAAGCTCAAACGAGACATTGAGAAACTTCTTGCGAGAGTACTTATCAACAAACTTCCATACGATAGTTTTAAATTATGTGTAGCGTCATCTTCAATTCAGCTAACATTGTTACAGAATTGACTTTAATGAGGGTTGCATTGATGTTCAAGGAAATCACACATATTAAAGATTCTTTCATTTTGATTGTTGTAGAAGTTAAGAGGAAAAAGTAAAAAGCACTTTGTTTGTTGAAGATCTTAGGAGTAGAATCTAAAGAGGGAAGAAGATATTTGATATTATTTGGAGGGAACTTAGTATGTTTTCCTCCAATTTCCCTTTTCCCTAAAAAAATCTCTCCTAGCCATTAACGCAAGTATTCTCTCTTTTCTTGAACACGTTACCTGTCACTTCTTACTGTATAATCTAAAGAGGGACTGCCGAATAAGACAATTTTTTTTTGACAATCCACAAAATGGTACAAAAGGGTAAACTAGGTATTTATACAAAATACAGTACATGTACTTTATGCTTTCTTGGATAGGAGTGTTTTAGCATGAATACTTGGGTCAAAGTGATTAAATGAGTTTGACTTTAGTTAGGGGTGGAGAGTGCTTAACTTTTTACAAATTGCTTGCTACAAGCAATTTCCCCAATTTGTTTATAAAAAGTGATTATTTTGTAATACTGAAATTGAGAACAGTACAGAAATAACGCTTTTACATGTTACCTCTATTTTCTAAATATCTTAATTCTAAATGTTTTCATTTGTTTTAATTGGAATTAATCATAAATCAAACTTATTGTTTCCATTGTTCGATGACTTACATTATTCACATGCATTTTATTTATCTGCTTCATGTTTCAATTAAAAAGTTTTTATTATCTACGGGTAATAAATTTATTATGAAACCCTCTTCAAGTTTGCTTATTAGGAAAATCTCTAAACGTTATAATTTAATTACAACACCTCTTGCAGTTAAAAAAAAACTGTTAAAATATATTTAAAATGATATGTACAAGTCACATACACTTGTATATTCCAAAAATTACCCTCCTCTTCTTCCTCTTAACATTATTTCCTTCTTCGAGTTCTTACCATTTGTTAAAAAAAAAGCGATTTTCCTTTATCTTGCAGTTTCTTTTCAAATGGAATGATCACCTTTGTTGTTCAATTAGCTGCTTGGTATAGTTTCAATTATTATTGCATTGCTTTGAAACACGAAACCGGAACTAATAATCTTGAAGTGACGCTGACCAAAACTAACCTGGAAATTGCACCTATTAACTTAAACTAACCTTTAATATCAAAGGGTGATATTCTAGCCAATTCTTGTTGTGATCATTCAATAATTGGGTATTGAAAGCAAGAACAAATCAGTTCTGGCTATGTGTGACGCGATTACAAAGCAACGAGAGGAAGAGAGAGTTATGTTATGAGTAAGAAAAATAGGATGATTTTGGAATATATAAATGCATGTGACTCGCACATGCCATTTTAATAGGATCGTAGCAGCCTTTTTAACATCATGGAGTTTTGTAATCAAAAGATGATGTTCAGAAATTTCCTAATAAACATGCAAATTTGAAGATGGTTTCATAACGATTATCTTTTATCTTAGTTGGTTCTAAGGAGTTTTCACATTGCGGACTTGAAAATACAATATTGTCTTTAGTATTAAAAAATAATTATAATAAAACCTATTACTATTGTTTAAGAAAATTTGGACTTTTTATTGTACCCCTATGCGCGTCAAGAATTTAAAAAATTCAAGCAATCTCCTCAATGCTTACAAATGCTTTAAAACTCCTCACAAGGGTAAAAATGGAAGGCAAAAACAAATAACAAAACTACCTTCATATTCTCGCTAGAGCTCCTACGTTATGTAGTGTCAAATAATAAGTTCTCAAACCTCCCATTTCTTTCTAAATTTTCGTTCCTCCTCTAAAAAAAAAATAAAGATAAGTAAAAAAAACCAATCATTCTCTCCGAATATCCATCGGCAAAGGATAATAACAGAGATCCTAACTCAATTCTTCATTCTCCACCTTGCAGACACAGAGCATCTCTTCTCCATCTTGATTGCAGGTTCATCTTTTTTATGCAGTTTTTATTTCTATGAAAATCAAGAAATGAAGAAGCTGTTTTTTTATACCTATTTATATTGGCATCAATAAAATGTTAACAATTTTTTGTTTATTACGCAAAAGTTTTAAATGTGTCATGCACACCCCTCGTGAAAATTACATGATAGGTTTCTCTTTTCTCCACTTCTGCTGCAGCCCAACCCAACCAGGCCCAAGTGTGAGCCTGGTCCTGGGCCTAGGCCTTGGATGCGCTATCGGAGAATTCTCAATACTACAAAGACTAGGGTTCAAGTCCCCATTATTAAAATCCCCTTTTTTAATTTAATTGACAGAAGTAGTAGAAAAGGAGCGAAAAAAAGAGAAGGAAAAGCTAGGCGTCCCATCATGAAGCTCAAGCAGCTCGAGGGTCTTCTCGGAGATCTCGAACAGTTCCCCACTCCAAAGGTTCGATCCCTTTTCCCCACTTTATTTATTCTTGCATAGATTCATCAATCTTTTCCTTTTCCTTTTTTATTTCTATTTTTGTTCGTCCAGTAGCAGTAGTTCCTCATTTGGGCAAACTTTACCTTTTTGCTCCTTTACGCCGGCCCAATTGGTTTGTTTGGGAAAAAAAAACCTAAAGCTCGACTTTGTGTGCACTTCTTCTGATTGAGAAATTCGCCCTTTTATGCGCCTTTAATGATAACGTTTAGCCTCGTTATTTTGTCAAAACCATGAGCAGATCGAGCTGGAGCAGTACCCAACTCGACCGCACATCGCCTCAAGAGTGATTTTTACGGTATTTTCTCAGTGCTATGTTTACAAATATTTATTATCCGAGCTGCTTCATGAAGTTTGCATTTGATGCTTCTTGTTGGCCACCGATAATTTTTTCCAAAGTAATTCTATCAGACTCGTGATGTCCATGCGAATTTTGCTTAGCCGCAAAATATAAATATTGGGCATGACCCGCTTGTGCACTGGAATCTTTTTCTGTTTTGAAGCTATGCAATTTGGCTTGTTTTGTGAGAATAATGGAGGGGCTCTCCTTTATGCATTGAAATATGAAAATTATCAATAGGTGGAGTCATGGACGAACCAGAAATAGCTTTTATGTGAAAAAAGGTGCACAGTAGTTAAATAGTTGAACTCAGAAATGGCTGTAAGTTTATTTTATATTAATTTCACCGTTTATGCGACGCTAGCTCTTAGATGCTGTGTTATTTGGTTGATACAATGGTCAATTTGTTCGTTTATGAAGGTATCTTGTGGTCAATTTAGACACCATTTACCAGCAAAGGGACTTCTCTTTTCCATATTTATTTCTCTCTCCAAAAGCTTATGAACAGTTTTTTGTTGCTTTGAACTTTGTTCTTTCTTTGTATAGCTTGTTCTCTGTTGTACAGTGATTGCCTTGTGCATTTTATCATTGATACCTGTCAGCAATGCTATTAATATATTCCAAAAATACATATTGAGCGTTGAAAGAAATGAAGGAGAAAGCATTTTTGATGTTTTTCCATTATTTATTTTACCGGATTGCTTATTTTATGTGTTTTTTGTATATATGCATATGGTTGTGAGATTAATGATGAGTGTGTCATGGATGCTGATCATGGAAAATGTATGCAGTGCTGATTACTGAATGGATATGTATCCATTGTTATTCCATAACATTGTCAGGCTGAAAATACATTTGGGGACATAAGTAGCAAGGTAGTAGCAGACTTTGGTTGTGGCTGTGGTACATTAGGTGTAGCCAGTGCTCTCTTGGGTGCAGAGTGAGTACTTTCTCATCTTTCTGTGGGAACATGAACCCCCTTCCTTTTTTTTATGTCTGATTGTTTGATATTACAAAATATATGCTGCATTATCATCTATCAATATGATTCAGCTGCTTATCTAGTGACTTCTTTTTTTAATCATTTTGACACTTAACTGAGTATTAAAGTTTGATGTTTTTAGCTGCCTCTATTGTTTACATCTTGTGAATGAATTTTTATGCTTCTCTTGTATCTGGCATGTGCAGTCATGTAATTGGCGTCGACGTCGATCCACAATCTCTTGAAATTGCTTCACTAAATGCAGAAAATCTGGAGGTATTTTTTCACATATCTTGCGTTTGATTATAATCAATGTTATAAAAAGCTTCACCTAGCCCACCTCGGTGTATGCCTAGGCCTAGGTTGTACCTAGGCCACCCGCTTAGCACGTAGTGCTTAGATGGTACCTAGGCTGCCTACCTATGTTTTGGGAGTGCGGAGGAGTGTGGTCTGCTTACGTGGATTGTACCCTTTAGGTGTTGATCGTGATTTCCTCCATTGCAATCTACACGTCCTCCAACCTCCTCCAAACTCTTCCAGCCTCTAACTATGAACACCTCCTCTATGCCATCACTTAAACGAAGAAAGAAATCTGCCTAGGCATCCATTTGGAGCTTATAACATTGGCATTTACTATCAATTATTGTAATTAAAAAAAGAAAAAAATAGGTAAACTGCCTAGGCCTTGCCTAGGTTCTAAGCGTTAGGTCCAATGCCTAGGCCGCCTAGCATTTTCTATTACATTAGATTATAAATATTATTTATCCTTGGGCCTCGATCAGTAATCTGTTTGGATTCTGTGGTTTCTAGTGAAGAACCATTTACAAATACGTCTACAATTTTTCTTGGGTAGCTCCCTGTGAGACACTAGGTTTGCACACCAGTTCGGGTGCAGCAAAGCAGTGTAAAAGCCAATCATTCTGTCTGCATTTCATCCTGCTTCAGCAGAGGGCCTTGTTTGGCAGACAAGCACAAGTTGTTTATAGCCTTTCTCTTTGATATTTAGAAATATTATGTTTCACATCAACTTGGCAAAGTGACTTTTGCGACAGTTAGAAAATGAAGTTTAGCTACCTATGTGGTTCACACCAGCATATATGAAAATTTGTATTCAATAATCTAATATTATTTATTATCTAGAAAATTTTGAAGACGAGTTTCACAAAAAAATTGTGTACAACATTTTTAATGCAGGTGGACATTGATCTCATTCAGTGTGACATCAAGGATATTGAATGGAGAGGTAATGTTGGTTCAAGAAATTCTTGGCTGTCGTTCTGAGATAATACCTTATTCTAGAGTAATTTGGCAATCCAGATAGGAAATTATTTCCGAGTTATTTTTTGTCTCTTCCTTTCAACCAATGAGAAAGGTTAAACTTGCTGAGAAAACTGGATGTTGTTAAAATTGGGGTAGTTAAAGGAAGAAACTCATGCATCCATTTGAAGCCGTATTGTTTGTTCTTCATTGCAAAATATGAACCTGGCTATATATGTATAGTAGGGCTAAAAAATACAGGTGAAGAACCACCTCTAGGACCTCATTGTTCCGGAAGCTATGCCTTAGGGCCAGTAGTCCTGGACATGGTCGTTCTATTTGTTTCCTTGGTCATTTCTTTATCATTCCATCTCTTACTATTTTACTTCATATTGTTGGTTGGCTGGAAGAATAAAGGCAATATTAGATCTTGTGAGTGAGTCCATAATTTTTAATCCTTGCCATGACCACCTTCTCGTCCTATTCCTTCTTCCTCATCTAAACACATGGCTGTATTCACCTCTCGGGCTTTGTACATGTTATTTTGTTTTCCCTTTCTCCCATTATGTATTCTGTCTCCAGTGCCCCTATATTTCCTACGCCTAACCATTCACCCATTTTATGATCTCCAGCAGTGGCTATCTTAAGTTTCATACCTTCAATGGCTATTTAAAGTGTTATTTTTTGCTATGTAAAAATTTCCTGCTTATACATTTGAAAAATTCAACAGTATCAAAACCATATGCAGATACATCTAGTTTATACTATTATCTGTAATGACTGAGGCTATGCATTACTATGGACTATCTGTGGGTTATTGTTGATATGTGTCATTGGGATAAATATTGTTTACAGTGATATTGTGCTATATTAAATACATGAAGTCTTGCAGTCAAAGTGGTCCCATGCAAAGGCTTAACACTATAGACTTTGGTGCCTTTAACTATAGCCTCTATACATCATGTGATGTTGGTCTATGATAACTTTAGGGTGCTATTCCTTTTCTTGCATTCAACTTTGTTAATAACTATCTGGGTGTCTCCTCAGTACAACTAGCCATTCTTATTCTTCATAATTTCCAACATCCAAGTTGATTAGATTTACCTCGTCTATTACTCCATAATTCTTCATTTTCCCTTATCCGGTGAACCTTTTGGACTCTGTTAGATGTCTGAACCTTCTCAATACATCTCCCTTATGGTATAATCAATAGGAGAAACATCATTTTTATAGTTATTGTAATCACTTCAACACTAGTAATGCATTTATGTTACTGAGAAGAAAAATTAACAAACAATTATACTGTTTCATGTGATTGTTAAGTACCATAACACAGCTAAATGTATTGAGAAATTCATTTTGGTAATTTCCTTACTGTATTTGTTAAGCTGAAGGTCTTTTCTTTTGGTAAATAATGTACAGGTCTGTTTGTTGACACTATTGTGATGAATCCTCCCTTTGGGACTAGAAAGAAAGGATCTGACATGGAGTTCCTTTCTATGGCTCTGAAGGTTTGAATTGATTTTAGTTCCCACATATATTGAACTAGCATCAGTTTCTTAATCATGTCAAATTGTCACCAGGTTGCATCCCAAGCAGTCTATTCTTTGCACAAGACTACTACCAGGGATGTGAGTTATTTAAATTGCAACTTATCAAGCATATGCAATTAAACATATGATTTCTGTAATTTCTGCTTTGATTTAACTGGTTTAGCATGTCGTATATAAACTTAACGTACATTGCATGGCTTCTGTTTATTTTTTTTAAATTTGTTTTGTATTTCATATATATACTAACATACACAAGTCACAAGAGTGGGACAAATGTACTTATCCGTTCTTGCATGCTCGCGCGTGTGCACACACAGATCTCGTATATCCCCCACCAAAACCCAGTACGTGATGTGCTGAAAGCATGAGTTTGTCTGGTGGAAATGGCATGTGAATGTAAACCATGCAGTGGACCATGGTCCTAGACTGTAGCACATTCTACTTCCTGAACTGGTACTAGTGGAGTGACATTTGCAGAAATTTCAAATAATTTCAGTTTTAAGTCTCAGCCTGGAAATAGCTTCCAATTGCATGTACAAGTTGATGATTGGAAAGTCAATGATCTCTTGGGTTTGAGATATAAACTTTACAATAGTTGGGAGTAATTGTTTCAAGATGAAATATTAGCTAAAATGCAGATTGTTACTGTTAAAAATGGTGTGATAAATTTGGCACTCAAGCTTCCTAATATTATGCACAAATTCCTGTGTTTTCTGGACCTCTGAGTCTCTGACTGTAACTTCAGTAGATTCCACTTCCAATTATTTCAACCGTGTCAATTCCTGTAGCTTTACTTGTATATATCCTGGGCTATAAGAGAAAAAGCCTGGAACTTGATTGCTTTTCACTACAGTACAAAGAGATTAGACTCCCAAGTAGTCTCAAGGTGGTATATGTACTTATAAATGACGATCTTCAGCATTTCTGTTTTGAAATGTGCGGCCTAATGTTTTCTACTTTGTAAACCATGTTCCTATGCTATTCAATCTAGTTCAATGTTTTGTCATATTCTGAAGTTTTTCATATATTGTAATCAGTAATCATTTCATTTGCGAGGACACCAATACAACACATCTTCCATTTTAAGCAGTGTCTAAACCTTCAACAATGCTTGTCCTGTGAGATTTTTCTCTACATCAGGCAGGAAGATTTTGGGCCAGCTTCATAGTATTTTATTTTGTGAATATTAATTGTCATTTTTTTCTTTGGATTGTCACGAAAGTTATTCTTGCTATGTAGCATATATAGAACTTAGGGAGTTTGGTGCGTTTGACTCAGCGTATTGGCTTCTACTCCCAGTATCTAGTCAATGTTCCTCTCTTTGCATAAGGTAGAGGCTTTGATCTTTTAAAAGATAACAAAATAAGAGGAGTATTTATGCATTCTGGTGTCTAATCCCTAATAGGAAGATGGTGAAAAGGGATCAACCACGTATCATATTGGATAAAAATGTCAAAAATGTTTTATTCATTGTTCATGCTATTAAGCACGCTTTTTGCTAAAACCGTTTTTTCTTCACTTTCCACACTATTATTGTAATCATTCGCATAAGTCTATTGATCCTAGTTACTAGATGTAGCTCTAGCATTTATCTAATGCGCTAACTCGTGTAATACACAGCACATTAAAAGAGCAGCGTTGCGGTCCTTTGGTGCCAGTAGTGCAGAAGTATTGTGTGAGGTATAATGCAGAACATGCACATACCATACTTTATTTTTGCGTTCTTACATACATTCTACCTACAACTCAACTTTGAAGGTCATTGGTTTTTATCAATTACTTGGCCTGACCACGGTTATATGCCAATTACCATGTTATTTTGAAAATTTGCTTATCAAATATATTTCCTTCTGGGCTTTGTAGCTTAGGTACGATGTGCCGCAGATGTACAAGTTCCACAGGAAGAAAGAGGTAGACATAGCAGTGGATCTCTGGCGATTTGTTCCAGGGCCGGCGAAGAAAAGTTGAATTGGAGAAACAGAGAGAACCAGTTGGAAGGACCATCTGCATTTGCTCCTCGATCAATTGAAATATATCTGATGTTTGTTTATCGTGGTCCTGCACTAGCGTAGGGACTCTAGGATCCAAACTTGGAGCAGTTGTACATCGGAAATGATTTGTGTATACGCTATTTATCTTTTCTTTTTGCCCGCAGTTATTTCAGTTTAGATAGTTGCTTTCGGGCAAAAGCTTAGACGATTCTCGTAGTCAAAGCTTAGATAGTTGTTGTCTAAATATTGCACATCCAAGATTCCATGTAGCGTAACGTATTTGAAGATGTAGCGTTTCGTACGTACATTATTGATTATTCTACTCTCTCTAACGTTGAAAATTTATCCTAGGAAGAAAGCAACAGCAGCGTGGATAACAGCAACGAAAGAGCAGCACTTTATGTTGGGGTCATGGGCTAAAATTTCCGCATCAGACGAGAGCAGTACGTACTAATTAATGTATTGTCGCATAATGTTATATAACAAATAAATTGCTCTGGTTTATTTTAATTTGACCGTCTCAGCGTTTTCATAGGAGATTGTCATTATTAGGCGAGATGACGAAATTCTCATAATTAAGCTCAATTGAAGCGCGTAGAATCCCTCTTAAACTGTGGTGAACTGCTGCTCCTAACACGTAACAGCCCTTCGATCCCTTACCGCTCTGTGCCGACGGTCCAGATCCTTCCTTTTGCACACTTACCAAGAAAACAGACCCCCTCTCTCTCGAACCTTCCCCCATTCGCCTATATGTATACGGAGACCCCGCGGTTAGAAGTAGGCCTGTCCATCCGGGCCGGCCCGGGCCGGGCAAAACCGGAGCCCGGACCCGGGTACCCCGGGCCGGCCCGGGTTTTTTTTCTTTTTTTAAAAAATTTTTATATCAAAATTTTAAATTTTATTTAAGTTTTAAATTATAAAAAAAAGACAAAAATAATAAAAAAACAATAATTTTATTAATCACTTAAAATGACATAAATTACAAATAAAAAATTATAAAAATAAATTCTTTATTAATAATTATAACTATATATTATATATATATATATTATATGTAAATATATTGTATATATTTATAAGTTATAATTTAATAGAGAGAGAATCGCATAAGTAGTCCGTAGCCGTTGCTCGTTGGGCCAATGGGGAAGAAATAACCGTTGTAATATACTATACTTATATATACTTATATACTAAGAGAGAGAGAGTATACACACACACATATATAAAAGAGTATACTTATATAATAGGGAGTATACATATATAAGAGAGAGTATACTTATATATACATATATACTAAGAGAGAGAGTATATTAGTATA